AGAATGTCTCTGGTATATGGTTGTTCATTATTTTTGTTGTTTTCTCGCCTGGTCCATTATACTCCTGCTATGAGTGAAACCATCCGGTATTTTTCTTTCTCTTTCTGTTACTAAATTTTAAAAGATACTTTTAAAATATAACTTGGAATATGTCTTTACCAATATTATTTTCTTGGCACAGTTTTTAAGGTTACATTTAGGGCTATATTTAATTTCTAAATTGGATGATAGAATTTAAGCACCTGTTTTTGTGTATGTCCAAAATAATTAGATTTCATTCCCTGTTGGGAGGAAGTGATCCTCAAGGATAAGTGTATACTTGTCCTGCTATGAGATGTTACTTTGGGCCCCCTACTTTCTGAATGACTAATCAGGAAATGTGGAAGAATTTCATACCGAGCACAATAGCATCTCTTTTCTGCAATTTCCTTTCCAGGCAACTCCATTTTTCATTTCCTTGATACTGCTTGAGCTGGTTGTCAGCTGGATTCATAAAGGGAAGCCATCAGGTCGTATGGATGATGCATTAACATCAATATCAGCCGGTGTTCTGTCTCGGCTTCCGAGGTGAGTTACTTGGTTAGCAGCCCCGAGTGAATAAACTGACATTCTCCAAATATGAAGGATATCATCATTATTTGGGAAATTAGACTATTTTCACATATTGCCCCAAGGAATTCACTTATTGTCATTTGAAAATTTAACATTTTGTTGATTGTAGATTTCTTTTTCATTATCTTAAAAAAGATACTGCCAAAAATGTTATTTATCTTCTTTACTAAGGTTATTGGTGCCTCCTTAAATTTTGTACCCAAGGCAGTTACTCTATTTGTTTAGCCTAGAAGTGGACCTAGGTTATGGTCTGGTTATCAATGGGAAAATAAGTCTGCCTAAGAAATTCACCTATTATAGCAATCTGTGGTAGAGAGACTCCCTAATCTTGATTCCTACATTGGTGTTCAAATGGTTTCCCTGTGTTTAGTCTTGCTTTATTTGTGCCAAGCATTTTCCATAGTATGAACCTAATACACACTTTTCACAGATCCTATATATCCTGGGGAGAGTAAGGGAGGTGTCTGCCTACCCAACATTTTCTCTAATCCCACCATTCTCCTCCTCCTATTGCAATATTTGTTTCATTCATCCTTTACTACTTGAAATCACTCAGATGTCACATATGCTTCCCTCTGCTGGAAAGTCAGCCATGAATCTGTGTCTAGACTCCTATAGAACAGTCGCTGCCTTTCACAGATTCTGTCTATTTTCTACCACAGGCACCACTTCCCTATGGTCTCATGGGATCTTGTATTTACCCCAGATATAGTATTATCACACATGGCATTAAGCTCAACTTTTTCCTCCCAATGCCTCTTGCTAGCTTGCTTTCAACTTGAGGGCAAGTGGTGTATTTTCCTCATAATTTTAACTTTTATGCTTATAATGATGTAGGTATATGGTGTATATATATATGATTTATTTATTTGTGCATACAGAACTGGGGTGCAGGCCAGAGGCTCAGGGGTGGTGAGAGGCTTCACCAGCGACAGAGTGGGGAACAGAACAGGCAGATTGACGAAGTACACTGCTAAGGGGAGCAGTGGGTGGGTCAGGAGAGGTCTGCCATGCCATGTGGTCACCTCCGGGGCAGGCGGGAATCGAACTCATGCGGAAGCGGCTTTAGATTCTCAGTGCTGTGCTTTAACCCACTGCGCCACCACAGAGGGCTGGTAGATATATTTTTTTTAAAAAATAAATCTCTTAGCTTTAGGTTGATGATACAGTGGGGATGGAACAAATATTGGTAAGCAATAAATAAATAAGCATACTACTTACTAGAAAGAATGTTACAGTTGGTGAAGAAGGAAACCAATGGAAGTCTTTTCCATCCATTAGAAGCTTTGATACAGGGTGAAGACTTGCCAAAGAGGCAGAAGGTGAGGGAAGTTTGTGATTTGTGATGCTGATGAATGTTCTCATTTCTGCTTCCCACCCATTGCTTCTTTTACTGCTTTAAGAGTTTTGCTTCTGACCAGTGCTCATTGCTTTGGAATGTTTCTATAAACCACCCTGTAGGAAATCGAGGTTGATTTTTTTTTTAAATGCAATGAAAACTTAAATATATCCGAAAAAATATTTCCCAAAATTGTTTAAGTAGGAAACCTAAGAGTAAAATTTCTTTCACAAATGCTGCTATGGAAAAGATGTGTTAATTGGTATAAAATAATACTAATATTAATATTAATAGCTGAAAAACTACTGACATAGTTGCACCTTGCTGATACCCTAAATAAAAGTTTGCAGTTACATAAATGTCCTGTTTTATGTCTCCCTGAAACAACTTATTAAAGAATACGTTCAATATGCCAAAGGGTTAATCAGATTTGGTTATTGAAAAATATTGAGTTGGCTATAGAAGTTCATTCTGAGACAGTTAACTGTATGTGTTTATGGAAATCAGATGACTGATGAACTGTAAAAATAGCATGAAGTGCCCCACAGATGTGATTAGAGATCACATATTTTGTTCAGTTGGAATGAGTTTATTAAGAACTCAGATAGACATGCTCTTGAATGAATGTGTTAGCATTTCCTTTACTTTTTCAAGTTTTACTTTGGTCATAAATGAAATTAGATTACTCCCTTAGCATCATAACCATTCGAAATATAAACTATCCTTTCTACTCTATCCCTGCTAAACAATGTCATAAAAATGGCATAGTTATAACAGGATATATAAGAATAAAATATAATTTTTGCTAAAAAACAAGCTCCCAAATGATAAGTCATGGGAGGAGGGTTGGGGCAAGAAAGAAACATACCAACAAAGCTTCAGGGGTAAGACTTACAGTTCTTTCCTTCACATCTCTTTATCACACTCTTTAAGCTAACACAAGTTAACTCTGGTGCCCTTTGAAAGAAAGGTAAAAGGTTATGAACTTTGGAACATATTTTTCTAGAACTGTGTTTTGAATGCGAACAGCAAATTACTTTTATGATCTCGTAGGTGTGAATAGCAGTTCTAAATTTGAAATGTGGATAATTTTGTAAGTTTTGCAAAGGGTTTTACCTTTTATGGCCTTTTCTGCAGTAGATCTCTGCAAAGCTAATTATCTGAAAATGAAATCTGAAAATATTTTCCTGTATTTGGTTGTTACTGAAAAATAAATGACCAGGTAAATCAGGGCGAGTGAAGTTGATCCTTGGGATTCATTCCCTTCTCCACAGTAGATGAGAAAGGGGGATTTAACAGAATGTCTTAAAACAATATTTCAGTTGAACCCACAGCATCAAGGGGAATTTTTGTGCAAATCATTAACAGCTGAGGGTTAGGTTAATGCAGTATTGATCATATCCTCTCTGAGGGACTAATTTCACTTTCTATACCAGCCACAAGGGCTTGCCACGTCATTAAAATACTCGATAGAGAGAAAAATGCTTGTATGTCTTTTGTTAATCCACTTGTGAGGAATAATACTTGGGATAATAAGTCCAAATTGGCATGTGGCCTTTGACAAAAAAAGTAGTGGAAATCAAAGTGAAACCCTGAACATGTTTTTCCACTTTGCCATTCATGTAATGGAAATGCTTTCTGCGGACTTTGAGGAAAAACAAATGTTTATTTGAGTGTACTCATTATTACATGAAATTCAAAGTATCTTGAAATTAGTAGCATACTTATCATATAATAGAAAAGATTTATGCTCTACCTTTCTAGTCTTTTTGTAAGGGAGAATGCTAACGATAGACAAGATTATATCTTGTTTACAAGTCTGTCGGACAGACCATGGTGTGTAATAAAAAAGTCCATCTGTCCTGAGAACCAGACTTTGGATAGGCTGCATCTGTTTGCTCTTCTGGAATCTGGTAGACAGGCTTCCTAGTCAGAATCTAGTCCTGAAGTTATAGACAGCTATTTCTATTTATCATAGTTAAGCAGTGTATCGAATGCAGATAATTTGCGCCCCTTTCAAATTCTTGCTCATGTAGCTATAAAACTTAAACTTAAGACAATTTTTACCAAATCTATTTTTTAAAAAATATTTAAAACTTGTGAAATATTTTGCTACTGACTTAAATGCTAACGAGTGAAAAATAATCACATTTTTTTTTCCCTGCTGTATAAGCAGAACTCAATTTCCAATCCTTCATTAGAAAACTGGGACCTCAATTTGTTACTTCCTTCCAATGTTTCTGCTTCCATAAATTGCATCCTCCCCAGAGAAATTTTATTCCCGATATAAATACCTACAGTATGTTTGTTTTTAATGGGTTCATTTATTCTGTTGAAACAGCAGATTATAAATCAAATTGCTATAGGTTGGAGGGATAATTTAAGTAAGTAAATTTTCAAATAAGTTGAGGACACTCACTTTTAATACCTATGGGTCACTGCCAATTTTTACGATGGAGCTAGCTCCGCAGTGTTCAAGGATACATATGTACAGTTCTGCTGGTCATGACTGCCATGGAATTTTCCATTTCTGACAAGAAAATTCAAATTCACAAAAAAAAAAAATGTTTAAAGGGGAGGAAATTAAACTTCTTTGAAATGTTTTTGACTTCTTGGTGTAGAGAATAAAGGAAAATTGTCTACTTGTATTTATATGAGTCTTTAGTATCAGTCAGTGCTGCCTTTGCAACATCAGGCTTCTAACAAATAAGTACCTGTCATTTTCAAATAAGAATTCTAAATAAGAGGATTCACTGTTTAATAGAAGAGATATACTTCTGTAATGTTAAGGTTATATTACCATTTTAGCAACTTAAAATTAGTAAAAGAGCACCCACTTGAGGAAAATAAGTTTTGAAATCATGTTGATTTATTAATTATATTTGCTAGAAAAATAGCCTCATTCCCTTTTAAACTTTTACCTTAGATACCTTATGGATAGACTTTGTCTTTGTTACTAATTGTGTAGCTCATTTTTCTATTAGACTAAACTTCCCAAATGAATGCAAGTTTCTATTTTCTTAATAGTCTGGATTTGTGCACTTATTCAGTAGTGTAACTGCATTACTTGTTGCAATTTATTTCATGCAAAACAAAGGTGTATTAAATTTATTTCTTCCAAATTTAGCCATTGTGTTTATAACAATGTCTGCGTTTTTCAGGTTACTGTAACAAGAAATTAAATGATTGTTGCATGAATGTAATGTTATATCATACTAAGAAATAATAGTACAAATTTTACCTGTCTGCAGAAGGTGACGGTTTATGTGATATTCTTTGTTATTACTGAGCAAAAATCTATATTCCACTAGATGGAGCAAAAGTGGCAGTAGCTTTACAGATAGTGCAATTTCCTGGGCCAGGTTAAAAATATTTGGAAAAAATTGGAAAACAGAAAAGTCAGTATAAGTAATGCAAGTATACTTGTTTATTAGTAACTTCCTGAGGCTGATATGAATAGTTATAATTATATCATCTAAATGCTTGTTATTTTCTAAGAAAAGTTTATTAAAAATAAAAATGTTTAATTTTCGTCAGTTTTGTAATCTGGTCAAATAACACAGTATGTAAACATCTAATTACAGTTATGAAATAATATGAATTGCCATATGTTGATCAGTACACAGTTCTACTTACTCAGAAAGTTGCGTTGAAATTTTGAAAGTTTGCAATGAGAACATTATCTCAAATTTTACTTGATTGATTAGTGATTAGAGCATAGAGTATTTGAGAACTAGATAATTTTAGGGTTGATTCAGCCTAATGCTCTCTTATCCTAAATTAGCCCTGAAGCACTAAAAGGATGAATGGCATGACTTGTAGCATTACCTTGCCACTTTTGAAAGTAGGTATATTTAAACTCACAGTGCTTTGATAAATAATTAGCTTTGTATTCCTTGGTCCTCCAATAAGATTTATCCTTACTTTTAAATAAAGATACATAAACATGGAAGTTTATCTTTTAAAGATCTAGACTGAGTAGTGGAATAAAAATTTAGTGCCTTCCTAGATTTTGTAGCAACTAAAAATCGACAGGGAAAATTTCTAATATTGAGAGAAATTAATTAGCTACCTTTCAAATGCCAAAAGATGATTCTTGATCTAAGAGAAAAAAAAAAGTATTTGGGAGGAATTATAAAGAAAAGACGATGGGAGAAAACTTCTTTATAGATTCTTTATTGGAGGATTCTTTATTAGAGGATTCTTGTACTCATTTTTATTTAGATAATTTTCTTGGTCTCATACTTAAACTTAGAGTCAAAGGGGTTTGAGTATTTTGTTATTCAAAGCCCCTGTGCTACCCAGTATTCCAACTCCACGTAATAAAGTAAGCTCACTATATACATATAAATTACATATGTCTCTTCCCACAGGATGGGGTTTAAAGAGCACTTGAATTCCAAAGTGCAGAGTCATATACTGGGAGTGGGGGTTGGGAGAGGACAGAGCTATTGAGAAGAAAAGAAAAAGGAGTTTTGGTTTATGATTCAGAATCTGGTGGGAACATTTTTGAAAATGTAGGTGCTATTTCCTGCAATCAAGGGCTTTCCAGAACTTGATAATCATTTCCCAGCTGTATCCCTTGCTGAATGTTTTTAGTGGTGGGCACTGCGTGCCTGTTTTTTTCCCCTTTATGATGGAAGAGGATCATATTCATCTTGCTGATAGAAAGCAGGGATTATAACTCCCACAGCTTCTCCCCTCTTTCCCTTTGCCTTGAGGAAAGTTTGGCTTCATGCTAAAGTGTGAAAAAAAAAAAAAGCTTTGACTATAGTATGTCAGGCATATTTCAGCTCGATTTGTGTCAACCCTAATAAGTAAGTTGACAGAGTAATAAATTGGGTGTCTGCTCAAGACCTGGCACCTGTACAGGAAATAAAAAAAAAGTATTTCAATTTCAGTAAGGTTCTCTTTGTTTTACAAGTGGACGTTTTCCAGGGACTCTCTTTTATTTATTGAAGTTTGGTATCTTAAAACTCATTTCAATTGTCACTGGAACTGAGAAGAAAAATAGCAACTTAAAATAAAAACACACATTGATGAGGCAAACATTTATATCTGCCTTGCAAACTGATGTGTCCAACCTGTCATGTGTTGTGCCTGGCACCTAGTAGATTCTTAATATCAACTTAGTGAGCAAAGGAATAAATCTATGAATGGGTCTGTTTGACAACTTATCCTAGAGCTCTTGTGAAAAGCTATAGATAATTTTGACTGTTTCAATTTTCAATTTTTCTTTCTGGAATGAATTTTTTTTTTTTTTAGTATTATCAATGGGGCAATTTCCTGAGCCTTATCATCCAGTTATATTTGGACAATTTGTTGTCACAATAAAGAATTATCTGGAACGAAATGGCTATAGTGTCAAGGCTTAAAGTCCCTTTTTCGGAGAAATTAATAAATTATTAGCTAGACCATATTAAATGAATAGTACTTACTGATTTTTTCTTAAAAGTTGATTTGACAGCCTGTATATGACAGCACGATTTTATAAATTTTGGTAATTGTTTCCACAGGAATACCCCTACAACTAAGAATTATGTTACCTAGTGTTAATAGTGACACTGTTCAGAAATCCCAGTCTAATTATATTAAAAGTTACCAATCAAATTTTAAATTTTAATTTGCTCTTTTTCCCCTGGATAACTAATTTGAAAACAGGCTTTGCATTTTTAAATTCTTGGATTCTTCAGATTTCTGGAACAGAATTTGAGTTTCTGGCCTCTGGCTTCACCTGTCTCATGGGAGTCCTCACACACATGCATGTGGGGACATCCTAGACTACTTCTTCCAACACTGTTTATGTGTCCGAAGCCAGCTGCTCTTGACCACCTTGTCACGTTTAGGAGTTGTACACCTGCAGAAGCCTGTTCTCTGGAGAATTGGACCAGGAAAAATGGCCCAGCAAGGTCCTATAAACACTCAGGGCCATTGTAAGAGGGGGATTCTAGAGTGTCTGGAGGATGGCACAGGTTGTGGCCAGAGGTCTCGCAAGCAGTTTCCTGGGGTCAAGGACTCAGATTTAGAGTCATAACTGTGCCTTACAAGCATGTAATCTCAGATGAAAAATTGGATTTTAAGATCTGGTGATATTAATCCCATTCATAAGTATCAGCCCTGGGTATTTTTATTATTTATATTAATACTGAAGTGACATAGCCTGATATTTTATGTTGAGATCTAATAATAACGTTAGGTATTCAACGTAATATTTTAAAGTTATTAAATCATTATTAAAGTCATGCTATCCTTAAAAATCAAAAGTAGCTTATAGAGATTGTGTCTGGCAAAGACCAAACAGAAAATGCCAGTTCATAGAAGCTTCACAGATATCACCCACTTTTCTGAAGTTAATACATCATGTTTTTATGAAAGACTTGATATTGTGCCTGCTTTTGCCAGCTGAAGGATGTTCCAAGAGGAATTTCCCCTTTATGACAAAAGGCAGAAAGTGAAGATGGTTTTGAGCATTTATTAAGCAGCAGCCATTTGAGAAGCAGCAGCGTGCCTAAAGCAACTGTGCACCTCAGACTGTTCACTGTGCCGACTTCCTTTACTATTTGTTATTTGCTATGGTTTGATAGGTTATTTTTGGGTTCTAGAAATGCTCATAAATTCCATTCCCTATAAATAAATGCTAATTGTTTATTGGTTTTATGACATTTCAGTTTATAATAGGTTGCTACTTCACTGTAGGAGAGCAGTGATATTAAAATGATGAATTTGAGTAATATGTTAATTTAAATTTTTCAATTTTCATTAAACATAGACTGTGTAAGAACGTTCTCCAAATTTGAGCAATAGACTTGTTGATGGCTTATAAATAATTACTAGGATGATCAATTTATTTACATATTAAGTAAATAGAAAAGTATAATTCAATCAAATACATGATAAAAGATTTGTGTTAAAGTACATTTTTATGTGCTTAGAAATTATTGAAAGAAGAATTTATTGAATTATAAGTTGCAAGACACATTCTAATGTCTGGATTTTAAAAACAGTTATTGTTTTAACTGTGCTTGCATACATTATTTCTAAGTGAAGATTACTCCCTTGCCTCTTAAGATATGTAGCTTATGTTACCACAAGAAATATTAAAGTGTTATGAAAATCTAAGAGGTGATTTAAAGTACACACACAGAGAGAAGGAGGCTATTAAGGAAGGAGTAGAGAGGAAGATAGGATAGCTAGCTAGATGCAGCTTTAATATAAAGGCAATTTTATGGAATCGATATATTTTAAGGCATTTTACTGCTTAGGCAGTTTGCAGTCTCTTTCTTTATGTTATTTAAAATAAAAGGCACCCTTACTGTGTTCTTCATTAAGATTTAGAAATAACAATCACAGAACACGTCAGTGACTCATATTTATGTTATATGAGTTCTTGAAAGGTATTTTAAGAGACAACAAATAAATGACATTTTAAACAAAAAATTTGTGTTTGTGGTGCCTATCAAGTAAAAATAAACATCATGTGAATCATTTTGATACTAAGGAAATCAAGCCTCTTGAAAAGCATGATAAAGAAGAAAAGAATAAGAGAAACAAAATCTTAGTTGCATATGAATATGACAATTTTAAAATGGTCTCTAAAATGTGGTATACTCATTTTTTGGTGAATTTTATTTTTCCAGCTTGTTTTTCAGGAGTATTGAACTGACCAGTTATGTTTATGTCTGGGAGAACTACAGTCTCATCAGTTTGCCTTGGGATTCTCCATGGACTTGGTGTATAACCTTCTTGGGAGTTGATTTTGGCTACTACTGGTTCCATCGCATGGCTCATGGTAAGTTGTAAGTCTAGGCTTTATTGATCATTTTTAAAAAAAGATTTCTTTTATTTATGCATACAAGAACTGGAGTACAGACCAGAGGTGTGGTGGAGGTGGGGGGTGGTGAGAGGATTCACCAGAGACAGAATTGGGAAATAGATCTAATGAAACACACTGCTGAGGGGAGCAGCAGGCAAAGACAACAGAGATCTGTTGTGCCATGTGGGTCACCTTCCTGCCCACGAACTCATGCTGCAGTAGCTGGCTTTAGCTTGATAGCACTATTGTTAACCCCTGTGCCACCAGGGAAGACCCAGAAGTACAGTTTTCACACTCCATGTCATGTCTCTATTTTTAAAATTTTTAGAAATTGATGGCTGTAGTATTACTTTTTAATATGTTACCTTACATTGTTTATGTTATGACTTGCTTGGTAGAGTCTGCAGACCCTCATGCACACTGTCAAACTTCACAGCATCATTATTCATGGCATTTAGAAGAATTCTATAACAGTGTGGGATTCTTTGTCTAGTGTGCTATTGTACCTGAGTTCAATTCAAGTTCTTGGCAGTATGTCCACATTAGAAATGAAAATGCAACCAGCTAGGCTTTCACCAAAATGTGCTTCACTGTGAACTATAGTTTTGTAAAATTTCTCATCTGATATAAAAACTCTCTTACTGCACTGGTTCACTGAATTTACTCTTTGGGATTCTTGGCTGCACCTTCCAAAGTAGCATTTCGTTTTGCAAAAGGAAATGGAAGAAAAGGGAACACACTAAATCTCTATAGGGATAAATAAAGGTTGGAGAATTATTGTAGAGGTAAGGTGAGCAAATGATCCCTAAGGAGAAACAAGGCATGCAAAATCTATTTCTGAAGGGAAATAGGGGAAAGTGCTAATTTCAAAAAAAACTACTAAAGAGCAGAACTCAGGATTGCAGTGGGTGTTTGGGTTGAGTGGGTGGGGAGGAAGGAAGGAAAAGGAAGAAACCTGGAATAATAATAAAAAATAGGAGATGGAAAGAAGAGACCTGAGATCAGGGTGAATAACTGGGCTATGTGTGTAGGAGTATGTGTGAGCAGATATCCTTCCTCAACAAGGATGAAGGAAATAGGAGTAACATCAACAAGCATATGCTTAAGGACACTATATAAATCCAGCATTGCTTTTATTGAACACTTTTAATATGTATTTAATGAAACTATGACATTTAGATTCATTTAAAAATTGAATTGAATATGTAAATTAGAAAAAAGGTTACTTTGTTTGTGATGACCTTTGTCTTTGAAATAATGGTTCAGCTCCTGACATCATTTCCTTGTGTGTACTCCCAAATCGAGCATGATTAAGAATAAATATGGGCAGTACTATAAATTCTGTATTTGATTTCAAAATAGAGTTTCCTCCCCTAAAATATACCATTGGCAATCTTCCTCATTTTCTATGCAACAAATAGGTAATGCAAAAAGCACTTGCATTGTATTGCTTAATTTCAGAAGCCTTCTAATATCACACTGTCCTGTACAGATGTGTTTGTTTGGGAAATCTGCAAATTCGCTTAATCTTTGAAAGCCCATTATAACAGGAAACAAAGAACCAACAAAATATTACCAAATATAAAACTTTTAAAAATATGTGGATTGTAAGTGCTCTCAGTTAGGAAAGAGCAATAAAGTAAAATAATATATTAAAAACATGGAATCAAGGCTGTTTAAAGTATGCTTCCCATTAGAAAATTTTGAGCCAAATCCAGTAGAGGCAAGCATTAAAAAAAAATCTGAAAACCTTCTGGAAAAACACTCACCACCTTCAGGCTATGGAGCCAATCATAATTTCAAAGACTTACAACTTTTGATGGAAAGCTCCTAGGAAAAAATAAATTATAAAGTTGAATGTGTCAACCTTTCAGTATAACATTCAATACTTAAATTTTATAAGATAATGTGAAATATTAAAGTGTTTTAAAAAAATCTAGAAATACACAAGGATAGGAAAACCTACAATATCAAATTTCTTGAGTCTCTTGGTTTATTAAGCCCATATTGTTTAATTGGTTAAATGTATTCAACTGAAAACTTTGAAAACTTCTAAAATCTAAATGTCATGTTAAAATATAATTTTAAAAAAACTTTATATTCTTACTTACTATGTTTCTTTTTTAATTCTACTTGCAACAAGCTGATATTTTCCACATACGTTAATATGTTTTTATATGTTTAATGTGCTTTATTATAGATGAGTTTTGAAGAAACATATGTACAGGATTTTCTCAAAGTGGACAGTTTATAATTAATAGAAAAGTATTTATTCACAAAAACATGAATCTATCTCTGTTTCTATGAAAAAAAAATAGGGGTTCTTGAGAACCTCTATTCTTTTTGTTTTAACCCCTTTGCCTCTGGAATAAAAGGAAGAAAGTTGCTACTTCTTGACTTAAATATATACAGAAGTAGCACAGTAGTTTAAACAGAGTACTTCAACAACTTAAAAAGCTATATAGAGTAATAAACTTAAATAGGTTTAATTAAAACTTAAGTCTTGCATACTTAGTCCTCATTGCAAAAGGATGCCGCATTTTACTTTGTAATATGCTGTTTGTGTTAAACATGTAAGAAAATGAGTCAATCTTTTTTAAGGAAACATTTGAACTCTGCATGGGAGGAACATGCAGTAGTCTGGATCTTCTAGGGCATTTACATATATTTAATACATTTTTAGAAAACACAGATTTTTGACTGAAATTTTGATAGCTGCAGTATCTTATCCAAATCATAGCAGTTTATGTATGTATGTATATTTTGCAAAAAGGCAAAACCAAAATATCAGCCACCATGCCTTGTAACCACTCCAGCCTTTCTCCAGCCCCAGCCTCTACCCAGTTAGGTAATTATGCCCACAAGCTATTTTTAATTTATCAGTGCAGCTGCTTTGTTTCTTTATATTCCCTATGTATGTAAGATTATCTAATATTTGACTTGCTCTCTCTGGCATATTTCTTTCAGGGCCATTAAATTTTGCTGCAGAAGAATTTCATGTTTACTAATAACTACATAGTATTTCATTGTATACTCACATACACACTTATACACACACATAATTTTTCTTATCATCTATTAGTGGATACTGTATTCCATATCTTAGCTAATACAAATAATCTGCCATGAACATTGCAGACCATATGACATTTCAAGTTGATGTTTTTGTATTCTTCAGATAGATGCCCAGAAGTAGCATTATTAGATGGTATGTTTTTTTTTTTTTTAAACAAAAATCATGAGTATTTTCCAAAATGGCTGTACTGGTTTGCTTTCTCACCTACAGTATATCAGGGATTTTCAGTCTTCGCATCCTTTCCCACATTTATTATTAGAATTTCCCACATTTATTATTAGAAGTCTTTTTGAGGGATGCCACTCTCAAAGTGTGAGATGACATCTCATTGTGGTTTTGATTTTTATTTCCTTATCATAAGTAATGATGTGTATTTTTCATGTCTGTTGTCCATCTGCAAATCCTCATTGGAAAAAATAACTGTTCAAATCTTCAGCCCATTTTTTATTAACTCATTTAAATTTAGTAGACTTTATCTTCTCTTGGATGGTGATTACAAGAGTGCATCTATTTCTAAAATTTATTGAATCTTGAAGTTCATAAATATGAAAGTTTTTATATACTTTTCCTATGCCACTATAAATGATGTGATTTCTTGGTGAATAGTTTGAAGTCAAAATGATAAAATATGTAACCAAATATATAAATAGGAACCAAGAGGATAATATTTGGTGATTGTAAGTGAGACCATGTTGTCTTATATAAATTTTACCTGTCCATTTCCATAACCAATAAAGTACCGGTATGCGGTTCATTAATTTTACTGCCTCTCATCTCCAAAATCTTTCTTTTCTATATCTGTGTTACCAGAAAAGGACTCTTTTTTATGACTAGATTTTTGGCCTTAAAAAGTTTTGTGCTGGGCCCTCCCAGGTGGCGCAGCGGGTTAAAGCACTGCACTGAGAAACTAAAGCCACTTCCGCATGAGTTCGATACCTGCCTGCCCTGGAGGTGACCACATGGCGCGGCAGACCTCTCCTGACCCGCCCGCTGCTCCCCTCAGCAGTGTACCTCGTCAATCTGCCTGTTCTGCTTCCCCTCTGTCTCTGGTGAATCCTCTCACCCTCCGCATCTCTGGCCTGTACCCCAGTTCTGTACGAATAAATAAATAAATCTTTAAAAAAAAAAAAGTTTTGTGCTAGAGGGATATGGCAAAATCAGAACAAGAAGGGACTTTGCTTAGCAAACTGATATGCAGACACCTTTATACTGCTTAACTCGTAGATGAGCTGCAGACCATTCCTCTGTTAAGATAGACTGCTCTCCAAGGGACCACACCAGAGGACTTTCTATAGTCCATGTCTTCTTTTACCATCCTGTTCTGGCAAGTCTGTTTCAACAAATTCTCTCCAGTAATTCTAAATTATCTCCAGTAATGTCAGACACTCAAGTCTTGTTGAGGGTATAGCAGGTGAGCACTCTTCAAAATTTCTAAGTACTTCCCTGTTCACTCTGTCAGCTCTAGGAATGACTGTTTTGCACTGGCTACTTCTATACTACTGAATTATTCCTTGCTTATCTCTTTTAGTAGGTAATCTCCTTTTTACTAGTTAATATTTTTTATATTAACTTTTCCAACTATTGGGGTGGTTTCTGTCTCTCAATTAGACCCTGACTGATACAGTCAGGCTGCAAATCAAAGTTCACTTGACAGCACATTTAAGTCTTCCATTCTGAAGCGACACACACACACTTAGAATTTAATTCAGTTCTGAAAAGAAAAGGTAAACATCTGTAAAAATTGTGATACTAAGCAATTTATAAAATACTCTCAAATTGTAAATCTTTTACTCCACAAGTAAATTGATCAGTGCATTTTTATTCATCTCTGTACCTAAGCAAAGTAAATGCCCAATTTTTGCGTAGTTTGTTACATATACTCTTACAACTTTATTAAGTG